AAGGTTCAAGAAAGGGGAAACGTGATGCCCAGGGCACACACAGAAACAGGACATTTTAAAGCCTGGATGGATCCTCAAACTAGTCTCACCCTTTTATTTTGCTGCTATAGGAACTACCCAGGCGAGTTGAGACCTACCCCAAGTTGCACTATCAGTTGAGAGAACTAAAGGCGGGTTCTCCCATCTAGCAGGCCCAGGCTCAGTCCCACCACCAGCCCCTTCTCTGTGGAGAGCCTCAGACCACTTGTTCTTTGGGACTCTCTTGTGGGCTCCTTAGTGATGCAAGTTAAACTCATGGGAACAAGCAACTTCATGGGCTATTTTACTTACATGTTCTCATACACGCAGCCGTGAAAGGTGATCGGAATGCTTTCATATGCATTCTAGTTCTCTGAGAACTGAGATAACCACAACAGGGAAAAGTGGTGCCAAAAAAATAATTTTATATTATAAAGGTGCTTGCTTTGACTCAAGCAAATCTGGAAGCCGCCTTGGGAAATCTGGCTTCAGTTCCAAATCCAGAGAGTTACATAAGCCCTCAGAGCATATGGTGATTGCCAACTTGGTAGTTGTACCCAAGTTAGTATCTATCTCCACTGGTAATCATGCTTCAGTTTAAAGATTGAACTTTCTGTTTCTTCACTGTGAAATCCCGTGTCTGCATTGCACCAGATATTTTCCATGGGAGAAATATTTCTGACAGCCTAGAGCTAGGCTTCTTCCTTGAAGGTAAAATCCTGCAACAGTGGTCTTCATCTTCCAAGTGATGTGTTCTGCTTTAAGAGTTAACCATGTTCAAAGGGTCTGTGCTATCTTTTTTTTCCTAATAGGCAGATTGCATGGCAGATTATTTAATTGCAGAAGTCTTCTCTAGCAATTAGGAAGAGATTGAAGTTCATCAATAGCTCTTTAAACACAATTCTTTATAATAATTATATTTCTGATCATAAGCCCTTAAGTGTTTTGTAAGCTTAATGTGAATGATGTGTGTAGGTTTCTAAGCATCCCTTCAGTAGGTATTGATCATGACCACATGTTTTCCATATATGTAGAAGTTTTGGCATGTCTTAATTATATTGTTGGCATCTTTGTGTCCAGGTGAGAAATGACACAGTACCCCCTCTAGATACACACATAGCACAGGCATTCTTTCAGGGACTGTTAATATTTAACAATGCAAGGGCTTCCAAAGGGCTAGAAGTTTCAGTAAGGACATCTTTTTTTCTCTTCGTTTGCAATTAGTTTATTTGTATCTTATATTGCAGACAGATTCCACCAACGGGGAGAATCCAAGCATCAAGAAATCCCTCTTTCCTCTCTTTAATTCAAAGAATCATTTAAAGCATAGTTCTTCTTTGAAAAAGCTTCCTGTAGTCACTCCACCCATGGTACCCATTTTTACATACGGTAGCCCTGAAAACTGCTCCAGTAAACTTGTTTTACTGATGACAACAGCATGTCTTTTATTTTCATGGGGTCATATTCTCTTTGTGCTAGTTAAGTACCTGAGCCAGTTCCATAAATTCACTGAGATATAAATTATTTGCCATTCTGGATATTCTGAATTAGTTGAGGAGATTGAAGTATAAAAGGCTATTGAGCAAACAAACTAATAAAAGGCTAGTTTGGGTTGTCTAATTAGCCAATTGTTGGCAGACAGCTTTCATAAAACCCCTTATTTCCCGTAAAGAATTCTATTAACTTATAATTCACAAATATCTTTTTGTTTGTTGCTCACAAAGTTTGTTAATCCTTGGTTGGCAGTTTATTTCTTTGAAACCAAGCTGAATTGACCAAATTGAGTGAGCTTGCTGGCTCCATGAAAAAAAACAGCTTCTGTTAGTTGGTAATTTGTTTTTTTCTTGCCTGGCTCTAGCTTTTGCTGGTCACCGGGTTAAAGCCAGGGCTTTGTTTGGCATTTGAGTTATTCTACCGTGTTCACCAAAATTGGTGAATGGACCAGTTGCATTCGTGTGGAATTTGTGGCACAAATTTCCAGCATTTTCACCATGCGTAATTCTAGACCCAGATTCTTTACTGGGCAGTGTCTTGTTATTGTGATTCAAACATACTTTTCCACTTTGCTACCCTTGAAAACCTGCTAGACTTCTTTGAGTACCACCAAACACAGTGTCCGGATCATTTTCCCAGCAGGAACAAATTTTTGTTTTATTGAACTGGTTCATAACCTAACTGCAATGTGGAATGAGGATACGACAGCAATTCCTGGTACAGCCCGATTTAACTGCTCTCTCCTACAGCGACCAAAACTAACAGCATGGGAATGCTTTGGAGGTTGAGGTTTTAACAAAGCTGCATGACATCTGCCAATTTTTCCTAATTCAGGGAAAATTATTAAGAGGGCAGCAGAATTTAACTGGCATCACTTGCATTGTGAACATTGGGAGAGTTTGGGTTTCTTTTTTTTTTTTTCTTGGTTTTTTTGGGGGGTGCTTCTTGGGGAGGGTTGAGTTTGGGTTTGATTTGATTTGCTTTTGTTCTCCTCTCGGGCGTGGTTGCATCTCTTAGTTAGGCTTATTGGTATGCTGACTGAATCCTTGTCGGTATCCTGCTCCAGGTGCCCAACTCTGAAGGCCCTGATCTTCTGACCTTGCAGAAAGCCATTCACTCTAACACCACCACTGGCAGGCCAAAGGAGTGGCGTCCTGAGAAGATCCCTGATCTGCAGCCTCAGGTGAGTGGCCCAGGCATCACTCCCAGACTTAGACTGCAGTGATCGTCTCTCCTAATTGGAGGGGGCATAGTTGGAAAATGTAGTCCGTCAATGTCTCAACGAGTATTAACATCTCCCCAGAATATCCAGGTGTATCTTGGGGGTCCAGATGGATCTGGCATCAGTGAGCCTTGTCCTAGGGCAAAAAAGTAATCTTCCACCTAGCTGGGGGTTGGGGTGGGGATGGGATTAAGGGATTAATAAGACATGGCCCAGCCCACGAATACTTTATGGCCTAGGAGAGAGAGAAAATCCATAAATAACCATAATTGGTGAAAAAAGTGAGGTATGCCATAAAAGGTAAGGGTAGGTGAGAAAATCATAGTTAGGCTGCCTCCTGCACGCCTCACACAGAGGATCGAGCCCATAACCTGGGCATGTGCCCCAACCGGGAATCAAACCCTGACCTCTGTCTGGGTCATAGGTGTCTGCTCAGCTCCTGAGCCAGCAAGGCATAGGCTTTTTTATTAAAGAAAAGTAACTCACATCTTCTCAGGAAAAGAATAAAAGAACAGCTAAGGTTGGATTAGGCCCTCCTTCTCCGTAGGGCCCACCCTCTCTGGCTCCATGAAGTCATCTCAGATCTGCTCATTTATTTTATTTTATTTTTTTAATATATTTTATTGATTTTGTACAGAGAGGAAGGGAGAGAGATAGAGAGCTAGAAACATTGATGAAAGAGAGAGTCATCGACCAGCTGCCTCTTGCACACCCCCTACTGGGGATGTGCCCGCAACCAAGGTATATGCCCTAGACTGGAACCGAACCCGGGACCTTTCAGTCCCCAAGCCGACGCTCTATCCATTGAGCCAAACCGGTCTCGGCCTGCTCATTTCTTCCCAGCTTTCCAGTCTACCCTACACATGCTCTCATCTTGTCTTCCAGAGCCAGCCATTAAAATCACTGCGCAAGCTGTTGCATCTGTCTTCAACTTCCAATCACCCAGCTCCTGGGGACCCGCGCTTCCAGCCCTTAACACCTCAACAGGTCAAAAATGCCTTCTCGGAAATTCGGATTCACTCCCTGGCCCAGGCCTCTGGCACGAGCAGCAACATCCGGCAGGAGCCCACACCAAAGGGCAGGCCAGCCCTTCAGCTGCCAGGTCAGATGGACCCTGGTTGGCACGTGTCCTCTGTGACCCGGAGTGCCGCAGAAGGGCCTTCCTACTCTGAACAGCTGGGCGCCAAGAGTGGGCCAAATGGGCACCCTTATAATAGAACAAATCGGTCTCGAATGCCAAATCTAAATGATTTAAAAGAGACAGCCTTGTAATGTGTGCTTGGGTAGGGCGGGGGCGGGGGTGGGGGGGACAAGCCAGTTGGGAGGGGAGGGGAAGGTTTCGAGGGTGGGATGGGACATGGGCTGGGCCAGAGTGGTAAGCCAGTATTTTCAGCTTTATGAAAGTGTGTGCAATATTGTATGTGTGGAGCCATCTGGCTCCTCACGGCCACAAACGCTAGTCAGGGATCTTAGAGCCACAGGAGTTCCTTAGGGATTGCCAGTCTCCACGGGTCTGGTGTGAGCGTGGATAGGGCATGCCATTGAGGAAGAAAACATTCTTGCCAGTTTCTCCCCTACATTTCAGCTGTAGTGCAATCCCTGTTGAACTTGGGAAAGCCAGGATGTGTTCTGGCAGTGCAAGGAAAAGAGAAATCCGTGTTGACTAATGCCCTTACCACAAATTTTTTTCTGCGTAGACTAAATGTGGGGTTTATTGTAATCCAGGAGTATCCCTCGGAAGGGTTAGTAGATGAACTAATTGTACGTCTTAAATTGTTTTCTAAACTTCCATATTTGATAGGATTTGTAACATTTATTTATAATTAATTAATATTGTACTGTTATAATCATACCTTTTATGTTACACGTAAAGTTATTTTGAGCTGTTTGGAACATTGTGAAGCAGTGGGACAGCTACAGTAGTTTCTATAAAAACTAAACAGTAACATTTATATATTGCATCAGGAGTACTTTATTCTATATATAAATATATATATATGATAAATATGTGTCTGTTTTATAAATATAATCATTTAAAGGAAGTATCGTTATGACACTCTGCCATATTTTTATACATTTGTAATATGAAGTGAGTATTATACTTCTTATCAAGGGAGTGGAATCGTGGCTAAATGTGACTGTAACAGTAGGAACCTTGCTCAACTTGTAGGCCCCAGCAGTAGCTTCTAGACATGCTCCTTGGCAGCAGACGGGATGCAGCATCTCCTTGCAAACCCACAGGGGGAAAAAGTGGGCTGGGCCCATGAGAACTCACTCAGCAGGCCTCGTCTCTGTCCTCACACAGTTGGCTCCTCTTCATGTCCAGGGACATTCCTTGTACCTGAGGGAGAACAGATCCGGGCTTACTCGTGGTTCTTTGCAGAGAGAATGGGCTCTTCTACTTAGCATGAGTGTAGAGCATTGACCAAAGATTTGCCAGTGAACATTCCTAGTTGCAAGGTTGTACGAGGCTCCTGTCTGCAGACCTGGCATACCAGCTCTATGCTCCTAAATCCTGTGCACTGTACCAGACTCGGTGGGGGGTAGGAGGGGAGCTATATGTGTGGCATTTCTATTTCTAAATGCTTATTTTGTTACTGCTCTTTGCAAGATAATTTAGGAGATATTTAAAAGGCTTCTGAAGCCATTCTAGATGTAGAAGACATTGCTATACCCATTTTTTCTTCCTGGGACCGACCATATATAACTAGGTTATACACACACACACACACACACACACACACGGTCAGAACAGGAATTATCTTGCTCTCATTTGATCTCCTCCAACTCCCAAGTTGCTCCCAAGTTTCATCAAGGCCTTTGGCCAACAAAGGTCATAGCCCCATGTCTCTGGGCCATCCTTGGCAGAAATCACTCACCACCATCATCCATCAAAAGCGTTAGATTTTTAGAAGTAGTCTCGTAGCAATAATGTTTTTAAAGATCTCCTCCTGCCCCTCAAGGAGGTAATGTCTCGGTATTTAGTACTTGTCCCAGGATTCTGAGAGTGTCAGCCCCTGAATCAAGTCAGCTGTAACTGAAATGTGCTATTACTGTTCCCCCGCCCCCACGATTTTGAGAATTATAGTTCTGATGATTATGGAGATTATAAAGAAAACGTGTTAGTTTCTTTAAAGCTTAAATTGTGTGCATATTGCATTTTATATAACTACTATAATGATGTGTATTGGTTATATATAGAGGTCATTTTAAGGTGCTTTTTATTTAATTTAATAAGTGTAATAGGCACTAAAATGCAACTCAACTGGGTACTATAATTGAAACAATTTGATTCAAACCAATAGTTTGCATGCTCTTTGGTTCCTTTTATATCTTGTTTCTTTCACCAGTTCAATACTATTCAAGTAGCTCTGAATTCTGGCTTTTCCCAGGCAGCTGCTCAGTTATATAAGTGATATGAACCCTTAGCAGTTCTTGCCTGGCTACTAATGACTCTAAAAGGGTGTGAAGGTCTTCTTTTTCACACCAGATCTGTACCTTATCTTCCCCCTTGCAAACCAGAAACTACATTTATTTCCTCTGGAAAGACTTCTCACTGTGCTGTGCGCTCAGGACTGCGCAGTCAACATTGCCACGTGCGGCATTGGGGGCTCGCCGTCGCCTAGCGGCTGGTTTCCCATGTTTTCATCCTTGCTAACACTGGGATCTCAGATGTCTGCAGATCATTTCTATTCCTGATGGTTCTTCAAAGAAGGGCTAGAATTATTGCCTTTTACCTAGAGCAAAAGTAAACCTAAATGATGAAGAGTCAATACATACTTTTCGTACATTCCCAGATTTGAGCCAGATAATATCTCCAGTGTTTTCAACTCGTGTTTTTGAGGTAGCTCTTTTATCCTCTTCTCAGCTTCTGTCCATTTTGACTTTCCATTGACCTCAGTGAGTTGTAAAGTGAACTACAATCTGCACTTCTAGCATGTATAATGCTTTTCCTACTCGCACAGGGGAATAGTCATTTCCTCTCAAACCTAATGGGCCCTCTCTTAGCTTTCAACTGTTATTTTCCTGTGTCGATGAATTATGGACCTCACAGAGAGTGCCGTCCACGATAAGGACTTGATTTAAAGTCGTAAAAGCTGGCATTTTTCTTTAGGAAGGGAAATTTTTATGACATCCGTGCTCTGTGATTTGCCCTAACTTCCTAAGGAAGAAAAAGATTGAAGTAAGGCTTATCGGTGACTTTGTTTTATGGAAGGATCACTGATCTCCTTTTGAAAAGAAACTCTGCTTTGCTGGTTTTCTGCTTTTGCTTTACCACCATCCTCGTTTTTCTTCTCAGAAGTTCTAAATGAACTTTTACTGAACCTTGTTTGGTCTCAATCTGAGGTTTAGTTTCTCTCCAGAGCCCTGGACCAAAAGCAGTCCGCACTACGGGGCTCAAGAGAGCTTTACAGCAGGGGTTCTCAACCGGAGCCAATATTGCCTTTCGGCAGCATTTGGCTCCTATGTGGTTATCATAACGAGGTGTGGTGGGATGCTACTGGCATGTAGTTAGTAGAGGCCAGGGATGCTGCTACACGTCCTACATGCACAGGGCAGCCCCCCACAACAAAGTGATCCAGCCCTAAATGCTAGTAGTGCTGAAGTTGAGAATCCCACTCTACTGTATCCGAACCCCTGGAATCTTATTGTTTGTTCCCATTGTCTTGGGCCTGCTAAAAGGTGAATCCTTTGGGAGGAGACCACGGCTACTTTATAGGTATTTGAGAACTTCAATTCTAGGTCAGCGTCCTTAGAAATTGTTTCCCGGAGCCATGATGCTTACGTTAGAAGTAAGCAGCAACCTGGCAGATTGGCACAATTCTGACCAAGTGCTCCAAGGTATCCATGGCTTTTAGCGGTGTCTCCCAAAAGAGAAATGTCTTTGTTTTTCATTTAGGTCGTTTAATAGCTCTTTATAAATATTGGCATATGACAGACCAATTAGAAGCAAAACTCTCCGCATTGGTGGTTGTGATGTGGCTGTTGTAGTATTTGTGCCGTACGCTTTGGTCAAATCTGTTTTCAGACCAGCTTTACAACTCACCATATGCAGTTGTACTTTCATTCTAAGCTCAGAGCTCCGCTGGTTAGTTTCTAGTCACTTCGTGTATAATAACGTACGTTGTGGTTGTAGAGTTAGCCAGTTTAGCATGTTCCTAATCTGACAATTAGTGGACTTCTCTAGGAAATGCTATCCCATTTGCCAGTCCCAGCTCCTCTTAGTTACCATCATAGTATCCTCACTTCTTAAACTAGTTTTTAGAGTACATAAGGAAAAAAGCCATTTCTTTTCTTCTAGCTGTGTATTGAGAACGACTGATAGTGTACAGCTTTTTGTAAAGGCCAGAGGATTGCTTTTCAAATGCGTGGAAGGCGCTGTTTATTTCTGTTCGCCTAAGTCCTTGTGGTGACCAACTTCCGCTCATTGGGACTTATTCCTGGAGCTCAGCTGGGACTTAGAAATCCGCATCTTCTCTCCTGGTCAGAACATCGTTTGTGGAGAGCACTGCTTTTATATCTAGAAGTTCGTTACTTCCTGCATTATAGTGGGATATTGAGCTCCAAGTGAGCACTAAGATCCACAGACTCATGCTTTTATGAACTGGGAATGTGGTATGATACACTGAACCGAGTCAGAAAATACTGAATTATTTCCTTACCTCCATCAGCTCACCACAGATGAAGTGTGTAGGCAGAGAAAACTTACTTACAGTTCAAAACAAATGGTTTCTTTCAAAGGGGCAGCAGAAAAGATGATGTCCTCTCTCTAATCCCCAGGGCCGGAATCTCGCAAGAAGGTTCTCTCAGAGACTCAAAGGGCCGGCTTACAAAACAAAAACTTGTAAGTGGTTCTGGTTTATTTTTTTTTTTTCTTTTGTGTCTTGACCAGCTGAGATATAGGATATCTTGAGGTCTGATTCAGCTGGGTAAAAAACAACCTGTCTTAGAAACCATAAGTAAAAACGAGAAAATGAAGCTGTGACAGGATTAGCCCCTCGTCTGTCTGTATACACACTTGTGGTGAAGGCGAGGTGGATAGGAAACTCTGGGCCTGCCGCCCTATTCTACCCTATTTCTTCTTTTTTAACTGAATGTACTATAAAAGATCATAGACTTTCGTGCCAAGTCAGTTACTACGTGAATATCCATTTCCCATAGTGCTTTGTTCATTCATCAGCATCAGGCCTGATCCTGACTGTACGTTTTTTCACTCCAGGCACTGACCCACCTTTCTGTATATTTTCCTATAGGCTACTAAATATGATCACGACCTGCCTTGTAGCTTCATTCATTCACTGTTTACTCCCTAATGTGAGGGAGGCTTGTCTTTTTGTTTTGCCAGAAAAAAACTTGTGATAGTTGCACGTTGGATTTCTAGGGCCAGAGAGCTGTGTCAGTGAACCCAGTTTCACTTCTAAGGCCCTTCATTGCTGACAAGGCAAAGCTCTCTGAACCCCATTTGATCCGTGGGTCATATGTTGATCCTCCTTTGGAATCTGAAAAAAATCGGTCTCTGTGTTGTATGCAGAAAAGAAGTTGCCTTGTTTGTTACTCTTCCAGCGCAGAGTATCAGGGAGAAAGAGGCCTTATCTGTTCCTCCATCCCCTCCATTTTGACAGACTGCTAAGACTTCCTCAGGACTTCCTTTGGTTTGGGATCGGACGTCCCCAGAAGCCTGATATGCTTCATTTCAGGCAGAGACAAGTTTGTCCTAGTGTTCTGCTTCAGGGTGAATCAGACGAAACCCAGGAATAGAAAAGGTAGATGCCTTGACTTTTGTCCCCGTTGGGGGATTAAAGTATTTATTGCCAGAGTTGTCAAAAGCTCCAGTTGCAAAGCATTCAGAGGTTCAAGAAAAAAAAAGATGATTTTCCTTCTGGAGAACTTTGAAGTTCTCCATGATGGCTTAGGTTTTCCATAGTGGAAAGCAACGTTTGTACAAAACCCATTTTCACTAGAGATATACGATTACTTATATATAGTCCTCTCAGTCTCTTTCCCTCTCCTTGTTTCCGCTTTGGGCACTGATGGAGTCAGGCTGGAGGGGTAATGCTGTGAATGCAGGAAGTTAATTCTCATGTAAACCTGGATTGATTAACAGAAACAATTAAACCAAACAAAATAGTGGCCCCTACTTCCTATCTCCAGGAATTGCTTTTGTGACATTTTAAATTCAGGTAGTTATTCTGTATATACTTAGAAGACTATTCCGAGCTTCTTCAATCTCTAGGAGGTTTGAAGGTGGTATCTGGGAAGACACAGGGCAGGGTGACTTTGAGAACCCTGCTCATGCATGAAAACAAAAATAGGTATAAGCCAGAGTGATGTAACACCCAAATTTGTGGTAGTTGAAGAATCAGTGGAAATTCTTAATTGCACAGACTTTATAAATCCATAACGCAAAGTGTAATTCCATACTTTTTACTGTGGCAAGAGTGTGCTGTAGTGTTAACCTTTTTAATTTTTGAATCCAAACTGAATTTAAAGTGTTGACTATTTAAATTTCTCACACGCTAATTATGAACCATTTGTAAAATGTTTCTATAACTATTTGTATCATGTGTTCCTACATCTTACCAAGTTTTTTCTGGCATGTATTCCATTCTGAACTTCTGTAAAATTTCTATTGTTGCTGTAAATACTATACAAATATCTATTCCGTGGTAACCTAAATTATCAGCATGAAATGGTTAATTTTTACCGAGCACAATGTATTTTTGAATGGATCTTTCCAAATGTCTTTAATAAAATGCAGATTTTGCACTGACTGAAATGATTGCCAGGCCATCCCAGTCTTGAGCACTGTTGTCCCTCGAGTTTGAAAAGCAAAAAGCCCTTCAAGTAGCTCCTTCTTTGTAAAGAACTTGTTGGAATTCAAATGAGGGGAAAATGGGCCTTTGACGTTGGAATCGGTTTAAGGGACTGAAATTAATGTAAAGCAGGGCAAATCCTGTTATTTAGCGATGTTGATAATTTTTTTTTGTATTTTTAAAGTGTCCCCCCCCCTCCCCCCCTCCCCCCCCCCCCCCCGTCTGGTATTTTGAAAACTGGTTTCTTTTACACATGAGTTTTGTCTCCTTTGCACGTTCCTAGTCATTCATTTGGTGGGCCAGGGAGGATGGGAAGAGATGCCAGCTTCCTGCTCAGTGCCATGGAGAAAGCAAGATGGAGAATGAATAAGGGTACCTTTGTGTTTTAGAGCAGGGGGCTGGCTACCTTTTTCTGGAAAGGGCCAGATAATAAATATTTGAGACTCTGTGAGCCGTAGGGTTTCTACCACTCAACTCTGCTATTACAGTGCCAAAAGCATTTGAAAATGATGGGTGTGTCCGTGTTCCAGTAAAATTACGAAAACAGGCTGGACGCCGGAGTTACTACCTGTTCTTGGCCCTCACTTCTGTCTGAGGATAAGAAGACCTAATGAGTCAATGCTCAGTCAGGGAGGAAAGAACTTACATTTTGAAATAACACATCTAAATATTCTCCAACTTTCTTTCTCTTCCTAAGCAAAGGACATTCTTATAAGCACTGTCATCAACTTTGCTCTAGATTTCTCCTTAAGTCATGGAAACCAGTGATTTCTGTTATTTTTTTTATCAAGACATGAAGAGTATCTGGGGCTTGTAATTTTGTATGTTCATATTACTATGGCTGGGCACCATGCCAAGTGTTCTGCTTTTACTATTACATTTACTTTTCACGGCAACACAATGAAATGGGTTGTATCCCCATTTTGTAGATGAAGAAACAGGTCTGTGGGCTTTACATGAACTTGGCCAAGGTCAGCCAGCTAGGATTTGGAGCTTAGCATGTTCACTGTAAAGCCCGTCCTTCATCACTACTAAATAGTGCAGTTGCTGTGTCCCCATGTATAGAAACTGGCATGGGTGATTCATGTACACCTTTCCTCCCATCTCCCAGCAGATGGTAGTTGATTTGATTTGAGAATATAACATTTCTTTGAAATAGGTCACTAGAGGTCCAGAGACTGGTGAAGTGGTCAAAAGCACCAGATCTGGAGTCTGCTTACCTGAGTGTAGTCCTACATCTTGTATGGCTTTAAGCAAATTACTTAACTTTTCTATGTCGAAGTTACCTTATCTTTAAGTGGAAATAAGAATAAGGATACCTACCTCATAGGTTGTTTTGAGGATTTGATGAGATGATACTTTGCAGAGCACTTGGTAGGTTCTTAATAAACATTAGCTGTTACAACATTGTTGCTAGTATTTGTGCCCATGTCAGCAGCCCTATGAACTTGAAAGGGACTATCACAGAATTATGATTGCCAGCTAGGGAGATCTCATTAAGCACTTTAGATACATTAATCCTATTTGACCTTCACCTCAGCCCTGTAACACTGTCCAGGTTAAGAACCGTTGTGACTTGACGTTACTTATAGCTTGGAGCTATTCTTGGATCCTGGGGAAGCAACAGCCCTTACAGCTATGCATTTGTCAGCAGGCCCCAGCAATTGCAAGCAGTCAAAGAGACAGGCTTCTGGCAGTGTCTGTTCGAAGGCTCACTGTAGGTGTACAGTCCTCCAGGTTCTGAGACTGGATTCGTAGTGCCATCTTTGTTTTGAAATACCTTTGCTAAGTCCGAGTGACCCCTTCCCTCACTGAATACCCACATCAGTTCAGACTTTTTTCTTAATCTTGGCAAGACTTTCTGCCACTTTTTGTTGTTGTTCGTAGCATTTAATTTAGCTGTGTTTAAATCTGCAATATGTTATGTATAGTTTACCACAATTAAAAAAAATCTCCAAGTGTAGACTACCCTGGCATTACGGAAAAGAAAAGTAAACATGTTAACATAAGGTAAGAGAATGAGGTTTTGCTAGACTATATATTTTTTAATTGAAAGTTTTCCCCACAAAAGAAATAATGCTGCAAACATAGTGCATGTGTTTAGTAGCAAAATTCTGTTAGGCTTCAGATTTCCCTCAAAAAAAGTTGTATCTTTATATATTCTGGCATGAATTCAATTAAGTAAAAAATCATATGCTGTTATAAACAAATTACCTGCAGATAAACATTTTACAGATTTCAGTATCTCGTTGTTTATTAAATTCTGAAGTATTGAACAATTTCCCTTGTGAAATCTCAGCTGACTTCTTTGTAAAAAAAAAAACACAAGTTGATCCTAAAATTTATATGGGAATTCAAGGGACTAAATCCAAACAATCTTAAAGAAGAACAAAGTTGGAGTACTCACACGGTCTAATTTCAAAACTTACTACAAGGGCTACAATAATCAAAACTGGTGCTGGCATTAGGACAGGCATATAGATCAGTGGAATAGAATTGAGAGTTCAGAAATAAACCTTCACTTTTATGTCAATTCCTATTTTTTCAATAAGGATACCAAGGCTATTCAATGGAGGGAATAGTTTTTTTTAACAAATGGTGCTGGGATAACTGTATAGACACATGCTAACAATGAAGTTGGACCCCTATCTCATACCGTATATAAAAATTAACTCAAAATGCATCAAAGACCTAAATGTAAGTTAAAACTATAAAACTCCCGGAAGGAAACATAGTAAATCTTTATGATATCGATTTGGCAACAGTTTCCCAGCTATAACTCCAAAGCACAAGCAAACAAAGAGAAAAATTAATTGGATGTTATCAAAATTTTAAAATGTATATTTCAAAGGACTCCACTAAGAAAATAAAAAGACAACCCATAGAATAGAAGAAAACATTTTCAGATCATATGTCTAATAAGGGAATTGCATCCAAAATAAATTTAAAAACTCATACAACTCAATAATAAAAAGACAGCCTTAATTTAAAATGGATAAAGTTTCTTAGACATATTTCCAATGTAATGTACAAAGGTCCAGTAAACACATGAAAAGATTCTTAGCATCATCAGTCATGGGGAAATTCAAATCGAAACCACAATGAGATACTACTTCATACTCCCCAGGATGGCTATAATCCAAAAGACAGATAATAACAAGTGTAGAGAAATTAGAACCCTAGTAGTGGCTAGTGTGAGTGTAAAATGGTACAACCACTCTGGAAAATCGTCCCATGGTTACTCAGAAGTTTAAACAGAGTTATATGACCCAGAAGTTCCTCTGCTAGGTACATGACTCACAAAAACTTGTACACAATTGGAGCAACATTATTAGTAATAGCCAAAAAGCATGGAAATAATCCAAATGTCCATCAACAAATGAATAGATAATAAAATGTGGTCTACCCCTATAGTGGAATGATATTCTGCCATAAAAAAGGAATGAAGTATGATATATGCTACCACATGAGCAAACCTTGAAAACACCGCTAAGCGAAAGAATCCAGACAGAAAAGTCCACATATGTGTTTGATTTAATTTCTAAGAAATGTCCAGAATTGGCTATAGAGACAGAAATAAATCAGTGGTTATCTATGGCTGGAGTGGGCAAGTGGGTTGGTGGAGTGATACCTACTGGGTGTGGGGTTTATTTCTGGGATGATGGTTTTTTTAATTGATTGTGATAATGATTACTCAACTCTATACTAAAAATCGCTGAATTGTACAATTTAAATGGGTGAAATTTGTATGGTGTGTGAACTTTATCTCAATAAAGATGTTACCAAACAAAAATATCCAATATGAACAATTATTTCGAGAACCTTTATCCCTGCCTCACACCATTTCATTCTTTTTTCCTCTTGACTTCCCTCCTGGGTCCAAAGTGCCAGTTGGAGAGGGCTTGAACTTAGGCTTTTCTCTGACAGTGCATGTCATGATAAAAGTTCATTCAACTTTCGGAGTTAGGATATCCAATCAGGTGTTCTGTTCAAAATGCATTTATCTGTGTGTCCTAAGACCATAGAAGGATTTTTCCCCACCGTGAATTGATTTGAGAGCAGATGGCGCAGGGAAGAGTGTTTTTTCGGGTTCAGATATACAGCATGAGGAGAAGAAAGAGGCTGCATTAAATATGGAACTCCTCAAAGCCCAAGGATACCAGGGAAGAGACTGGGGGTTTTAGGAGGCTGCTCACTCACAGAGAAGGTTAGTGTGAGTCCAGCACTCAGCCTGGTGTTGGAAAACAGTAACTTGGAGCCCTAATCAATTTGGCTCAGTGGATAGAGCATCGGCCTGTGGACTGAAGGGTCCCAAGTTCAATTCCGGTCAAGGGCATGTACCTTGGTTGTGGGCACATCCCCTGTAGGGGGTGTGCAGGAGGCAGCTGATCAATGTTTCTCTCTCATTGATGTTTCTCTCTATCCCTCTCTTGCACTCTGTAAAAAACACACTAAAATTAAAAAAAACAACAACAAAAATAGTAACTTGGAGAAATGAGCTGCTAGCAAAGGGTGTACTGCATCAAGGCCAGGTTAGATTCCCCAGTCTTGTTAAAGGGCCCCATTCTCTGATCCCACCCCCTCTCATCTCCTCCTTCAAATCTTCTCCTGCCCACCTGCCACGTCATCATTAGCTGCAGTCAGGAACAGGAAGGCTTGCGTTGCAAGGCAAGGGGGCAGAAGTTGGAAGGTGGGCTCACCAAGGGTGTAGCCACAGCCCCATCCTTAGGACATAGGTTCTGACTGCTTCCTACAGAGGTAATGGGCTCAGCTAATGGGCCTCCTCCCCGTAGCCAGTGATAGCTCCTGGGCCAACTGTTTTCAAAGCAGGAAGCTTGTTGGAAACAGCAGCCCTAGATAGAGGAATTCTGATGTGTTCTGGTCATTTGGGGTCCCTAAATACTTCCATGTGCAGCCTGAATGGGTTGTATATAATGGGACCTCTGGAAACAACCCCCCCCCCCCCCGGCAATCCCGGTGGACATGGCGTAAAAGCAGCTGAAGCCTGGGCCCTTCGGTCGTGTATGGCTCTCAGGAAACTGGGGCACGGGCTCACACCCACTGGGCTCATCTGCACCGCCCGGTCACCCCGAAACCTTTCATTCTGTCCCCTGGGCTCTCCAGTCCTCAATGGTCACGATTTAATAAAAACTCGAGAGGAAGCGCACGCTTGCTCCTCCTTTACATGAAAAGCCAGGCTTTGTGAAACATGATGTTCCTGTTTGGAATCAAGCAAAAGAAATTGCAAATGATCAGGGCTGCTCTGTGTTCCCTTGGGACTCCACCTTTCCCAGTGTTGCTGCGACAAAACAAAACAAAACAAACAAACAAAAAAAGCAGCATCCAATTACCCCTGCTACTCAGGCTCTTGTATGAAAATTGTTTTCAGAGACATTTTCTTTGTTCTTATTTTCTTTGGCCCTGAGTGGGGAATAGGTTTATTATGGTGTGTGTTTTTTTCTCATTCAAATTGGAAACTATATCTTAAAAACTGGAAAGCAAGAAACATTCTCTACCCAGCTCTGCATCAAAAAAGAGCTTGTAAAATGTCCCTCGCTTGTCACAGGGGGGTGAGGGTCTCTGTGGTCCACTCTGTGCCTCCCCATCTCTTCCCCCCATCCCCCCTGCAGGTGCCCAGCTTGCA